ACTAACTACTACTACTACTATATATATATATATATATATATATATATATATATATATATCAAGAGTACATAATAGAGATTATTAGAGATTATTTAGAGATTATTAATCTCTATTATGTACTCTTGATATATATATATATTGATGAAATACAGTTCCGACTCCTATGTAATCCTGGAGTCCTGTGCGCTACCTGTACCTAATCTCTCACGCATATCAAGACGCTCCCCGATCTACTTCCTACTAGCGAAGAGAAGTCTATTATATATCTATATACTATCTACTATATCTATTTTATCGCCCATACCTTGCAGCAGACTGACGCTGTTGAAGGCATCTCGGAGCTTGGCGATGAGCACGTGCAGAAAGCTGTCCTGAGAGACCTGCTCGAGCGATTCCGTCTGCTCGTCGTAGACGATGACGTCAGAGTAGTCTAGCGTGTCCAGTCGGCACGACTGACAGATCAACTCTCCCACTGACACCTGCAGGAAAACAATGAAGCCATCACGTTAACGCAAGCACGCACGCACACGCACGCACACGCACGCACACGCCTGCAAGCATGCACGCACACGCATGCACACGCCTGCAAGCATGCACGCACGTACGCACGAATAGACAAATAAACTCTCTCACTGACACCTGCAGGAAAACAATGAAACCATCACGTTAACACAAGCACGCACGCACGCACGCACGCACGCAAGCATGCACGCACATGCCTGCAAGCATGCACGCACACGCACGCACGCACCCATGCACGCACGCACGCGCACGCACACACACGCACGCACGCACGCACGCACCCATGAACGCACGAACACACATACACATACGCACACAAACACGCACGCACGACTGATATATCAACCTATTCACTGCCACGCACAACATACAGGTGAGAAGCGAGGCCATCGTGTTAACACGAACACCTTGCCCAACCAAGACAGCTTATTAATTACCAGGTGATGTATTTACGCCACCCCGGGGACCAACAAACGCTGGACGATTCGTCTACACGTTCATTTCGTATAGAGAAAGTTGGTAGACGATAAAAAGACAGGAATTGGAAATATGAAGCAGACCGTAACAATATTCTCCTCTCAAATTTCATGCCACTCCACATGTGGCACAACTGCCGTAATGCATGTTTCATCATTAATATTCGGAAACTCCCTAGCTCGTAGGAATCTGTCTACATTTGGGGAATTATGAAAAAACCTAAAAAAATGCTATAATAATATCGATAATTGCGAACAGTCCAATCCGCATTCCATTATCCAACATCCATTGCAAGCCAATATGAAGAAAAGAAAAAATAGAGAATGCGGCCCGCTGCACATCGTCTCACAAACATTCCACGACAACAACATCCGGAAAGCCTCTTCTGGCAGCGCCTCTATACGCCGCACTCTCTCGCGCAGACCTCTTGCGTCATGCCACTCGAGGATGCTCGGCGATGATGGGCGCGATAAACGAGCCCTCGTCGTCGTCGTCGTCGTCGTCGGCAGCGGCAGAGGCAGCGGCGCGTGATGCCATTAAGGGGCCGCAGCGGCGCGCGCTGAGAGATTGCGGGCGACGATGAGCAATGCTGCTGGCGCCACGCGGCTGGCCGTAAAACCCGGCGGCGGGATGCTGCGGGGCGGGATGCTGCGGGGTGGGATGCTGCGGGGATGCTGCGGGGTGGGATGCTGCGGGGTGGGATGCTGCGGGGATGCTGCGGGGATGCTGCGGGGTGGGATGCTGCGGGGGTGCTGAGAGGGATACGGGGAAGGATGCTGCGGGAAGGCTGTGAGGGATGCGGAGAGGGATGCGGAGATGATGCGGGAGGGATGCTGCGACGATGCGGGGAGGGATGCGGGGAGATATGCGAAGAGTGATGCTGCAATGTTGCGGGGAGTCACGCTGCGAGAATGTGTGAGGGATGCTGCGAGGATGCGGGTAGGGATGCGGAGAGGGATGCGGGGAGCGACGCTGGGAGGGATGCTGCGATAATACGGGAGAGATTCAGTACGAGGAAATAACGGAGAGCTGTGATGATGTTGCAGGGATGCTGTGAAGATGCTGCACGGATGCTGTGAAAAGAGCTGCAGAGACAACCACATGTTGCACACATTTGCCAATTATAAACGCCTTGAGGATGAGTCAGCTCTGAGGAAAACTACGCGGGAGGGAGGAGTAAGGAAGCGGACAGCAGGCGGGAGACATGGGCGGAAGGAATAGAGAGTGACAGAGGGACAGGGAGAAGGAGATAGGGAGAGAGAGAGCGAGAGAGAGAGAGAGAGAGAAAGAGAGAGAGAGAGAGAGAGAGAGAGAGAGAGAGAGAGAGAGAGAGAGAGA